TGTGGGCGGGAGGGTGGGGTGGGGAGGCCGTGGGCTCAGCAGCTCTGGTCAGGGCTGGAGGCCAAGTGTTCCTGGTGGCTGCCTATCTCTGGCGGAGCTTCTGGAACCCTGGAGCACACTGCTGCTGGCTCACCCCTCACCCTGCCGGGCCCCTCATCACGGCCTTGCTGATCTGCTTCACAGAGAAACTTCTGCAACCATGGTGGTGCCCTAAGCCTGACCCACGACATCACTGCCCACTTCTTTAGGGTAACCATCTCCCTGGCACCCTGTGGGCCTCCCCAGATCCCCGTGGGGTAAAACCCAGCTGGTATAGGCACCTGGCACTGAAACCACTCATACTCATGTTCCCGGCCACAGGGGCTCCTGAACGCCTGCTCGCGCAGCCTGGACCCCTCATTGACTGCCAACCTTACCCTGGCCAAGTGCCAGGCCAGATGCCCTCTGATGGTGACCTCGGCACTGGTAGGCCTGGCTAACCCGCACACACTGCATGAGGGGCTGGTGGCCAGTCTCCGTTTCCCTGATCTTTCATCAGTGTGTGGGAGAAATGGGGCAGCTGTGACGTGTGTGCTACAGTGAGGGCACATCCTCCACCCATCTGTCTCTCTGTCCTTGCGACAGATGCCAGAGCCCTGAGGGCTGCGTGGCAGTGGTCTCGCTCCCTCTAGGAGCAGCCATGTGTCAGGAGTGTGCTGTCTGCCCACTTCCTGCGCTCCTGCCTCATGTCCAGGGCCCGTGTGTGAGGAGAGTGGCCAGGTCCAGTGGGTGGCCCCTTGGTAGAATCACTGTAGAAGTGGCGAAGTATGCATGGGGCCTGGGCGGGCTCACCCAGGATACAGGGTGCTTGTCTCCACGGCAGGCATTTCACCAGGCAGGACCCTTCCTTGCCCCATCCTAGGGAATAAGAATACTCTACAGAATTGTTTCGAACCTCAGATGAGGTCAGGAAGACACTATAAAGTGATGGAACATAAGCTATGTAAGGCCCTCAGGAGATGCTGGCCTGCGAGGGCTATTTTTGTTGGCCATGGGTGGCCTTTCTCATCCAGTCCTTCCTGGTCATGGCAGCTGGAGCTGGTCCACAGCTGCCCTAACCCATTTCCCAGTGACTTTTTTTCTTCTATAAGTCGTGGTGGTCAAGCCTGGAGCCGGTGCTGTGCGGTCAGTGGCAAAAGTGCTGCCAGGGCGGGCTGCCCCACGAGCTGCAGAGGCTGCAGGAGGCTGGGCAGTTTGCCCACAGGTGAGTGTTGGAAGTAGGGCATTCTGGAGCCCGGGCTGCTCAAGGCTGGACTATTTGTGTGGGTGTCTGGTGCTGCAGCCGATCTCCATACGGGGGAGGGCCGAGCTCACAAGTGCTTGTGCAGACTGGTTTCCATAGCTCTGACTCCAGCTCAGCCTGTCCTGGTCTCAGGTCTAACACAGGGCCCAGGACAGGTGGCATTAGCGTCAGGGTGCCAGGCCTCAGCACCACCCCCCCACGGTGACACCAGCAATCGCTTGGGAATGTGTTCTGACCACCAAGAATGCCTTTCTTGGGTTTCAATCCCTGATGCCTCTGGATCCCCCAAGAGCCAGGGTTACCTAAAACCTCAGCAAAGGGAATGTGGGAGACAGATCAGATTAGTTAGTTTCTTAAACCCGAGATCTATTTCATTAGTATTTCGCCCAGCTCTTACCCTGCTGGAAAAGGGCACACCACACATGGAAGGGCTGCATCCCTTTTGTCCACTGTCCTAGGCCTGATCCTGCTCTCAAGAGCACAGGGTAAGGTAAGGCCCTGCCCTAATGCAGGATGTCACAGCGCCTACCATATCCTCATGCAGAGCCAGGGTTCATGAGGAGGCCCCTCTACTGAAGGGCCTCCTGCTGCCGACACGGACCTGTGCAAGGCCAGCGGCAGGCAAGGGAGGAGTCAGTTCCTGTGAAGTATCTCCAAAGCCTTGCAGTATGTTCTTGCGTCCCAGCTTCCTCTCCCTAGACTCAACTTCTCTCGCCCCGACCCCGGCCTGGATCTCTGCTGCTGCACTGCATTTTGCAGTCCAAAGAGTGAGGAAGGACAATGCAAGGAGCCTGCTGAAGAAGCTGGACTTCCAGAGAGAGGAGGCAAGGCATTCATCCTTTGCTTAGCAAGCCAGCTTCAGTCAGTGCTTTTCTGTTTTCCTAATGGCTTTTCTTTTCCAAGAGCAGACGTGAGGTTGAATGTTCAGTGGGAAGAAGTGAGTTTATAGCATGTTGGGTCTTTGGTCTGTTGAGCCAGCGGCTGGTGCTTCACCTTGCCCTGCACACCAGGGCTGTGAGGCAGCACGTGTACGTCAGAGCACAAGGATGGGGCTACTCCCACCCAGGAAGGGATACCAGCCTATGCCCTGGCCCTCAGGAGCCTGACTGCACAGCCCCCAAGTCTTACTGAGGGTCCCAGGGCAGCATGTGCAGAGAAGGCCAGGACTTCCTGAGGAAAAGGCAGCGAACAGAAGGTGGGACTAGTGAACACAAAGCAAGATGGGACAGCCCTGACTGCCGAGCACAGGTCCCCACGTCAGCCAAGCCAGGGTCTGTCACTGGAACACACCGTGTCTGCACTCACGTTCAGGCTTTGTCAGCAGCAGTTCCTGTGGCTGCAGCCAGGTCCTAGTCCTAGTGAGGGTTGTCTTGAGCGGAAGCTTGCCGGGCCACCCGCGCCACCCACTCTTCTCAGTGGGAGCAGTAATTTGTTCCAAGTGAGCTCTCCACAAGTGGCCATGCTCGTCTTCCTCCTGGAAGACTCCCGCTTCACACAGCCTGGGGAGGTGGCGCTGAGGATCCGCTGGACTCACTGGGACTGGGCGCAGGTCCTCATGCAGTAACTGCCTGTTTCCTCCACAGCTCTTGGCACCCCTCTTTTTCTTCTCCTTGCTCAGCTTGCTGTCATCACACCTGTCCCCAAGCGTAAGTCAAGACCCCTCAGCTGAGTCAAACCTTGATCCCCATCAGGTGGGTCAGGCTGCTGGGCTGCGAGCCGGGCCCACTCACCTAGAGGTGGGCATCGCACAGGCTGTGTCCAGTGTGCAGCTCCCTCGGGAGGTCTCATTTCAGAGCTTGGTGCAGTGACCTGGGTGTATGCACCTGAGGGGCCCGGTTGCCCCTTTAACCTGAGCCTCACTGTCTAGAGAGCCCAGCATGACACCTTCTGTAGGTTGTCATTAAGTCTTTAGACTTTGGTGGTGGTATACACTGGTAATCTCCCAGCAGTCTGGGAGGATGAGGCAGTTCAAGTACTGCCAGGGCAACTTAGCAAAAGCCTATCTCAAAAGAAAAATATTTTAAAGAAATAGGGGGAGCTGAGAACATAGATCAGTGTCTGGGTTCAGACCTCTCTCGCTGCTTTTCTTCTGTGGGTCACAGGCCATAGCTGACTCCCTGAAGGCCATGGAGGTGTGTGTTGAGGTCCTAGCCTGTATGCAGAGGAGAAAACTGCCCTGGCTGAGGCTTTTCCAGCTGACAGAAGCAGGTAAGAAGCCATATAAAGTCTGATGTAAGGGGTGTGTGGACGGTGACTGTCACTCCCTTTAGGAGTAACTTTCAGGTGGAGGCACAAGCCTCAGAGGAAAGCTTGCCGGGCACATGTGAGGCCTTGGGGTAAGGTCCCCAGGAACACAGAAAGAGGGAAAATCCTCCCAGGGCCTTGCTTTACAAGCCTCAATTGTGCACTCAACTTTCTAGGTTTATAAGCTGTAGTTTAGATGGGAACATTCAGTGCCTGCCCATTTAACACAACAGAACCCCCTGGAGAACCAAGAGGGCCAGGTCCATATGCACACTGTGGGGTGTCCAGTGTGCCCAACTCTGGCCTCTACCTTCCCGCAGGATGTCACCTCCATCTTCCTAGCAGCTAATGGGAGTCTTGAGCATGGGACACACCCCATGCTGTCACCACACAGACCTCAGCACCCTCAGGTCCCTGGCAGAACTAATCGAGCCCCCCCACATTGCAGATGCTGGGTTGGGTCACCTCCTCCGCTTGGCCCCGGATCAGCTCACCAGGCTGCTGCCCTTTGCTTTCTACAGGTGACCACCTTCCAGCTGCCCAGTGAGGGACTTAGATGAGTCATGGGCTGGGTGTGGACTTGCCCTTGGAGGGGTGGGCATCTGTGCTGCCCAACCAGTGAGTCCCCAAGTGCTTGGGGCCTTGCTGTTACACTGTCCCTGTCCCCAGGCTCCTCCCCCACTTTGATGAGGCTGCTACTGTCAGGGACGTGGGCTTTCTGCGTATTGCCGTCGACATGTACCTCCAGCTGGTCCAGCTCTTCGTGGGAGGGGAGACCACCACAGTGTCGGCCTTGACTAGTACCGGCCTACAGCTGCAGGGCCAGCCTCTGCCACACGTGAGTGCCCAGCCTGGGGCAGCTCCTGCTGAGGAAGGAGGCTTCTGGCCCTGACCTGTAACCACCCATCTTCTCCCCAGCGCAGCCCTGTAGAACTGATAACAGAGGCACGTCTCTTTCTGCTGCAGTTTATACCTCAGTGCCCACAAGAGAGCTTCTCAGGCATGGCAGAGGTAACCAGAGCACCCTCCCCTGTAGTGGGGTTACAGCTGTACAGCCACAGCCGCCAGGCCTCTCCTGTGCAGTGAGTGTGGCAGGGATTCCCTGAGGGGGTCCCAGCAGCTGTGGCTGAGCAGCATTCTCTCTCACAGCTGCTGGCTGGCCATGCAGACTACGACCCAGAGGTGACAGGTGCCCTCCTGCACAGGTGCCAGACTATGACCAATGCAGACCTGTACCAAGAACCCCGTCTTTTCTGATGGGACCTGTCTCAGTGCACCAACCTACCTCCTTTGTAAATAATTTATTATAGGGATCACAAGGAGCTCATGTTGCACTAAAAAGTGGATTATAAACCTCCTTGATTGCTTTAATTGGGAAAAGGAATCAATTATTCATAATCTGTGTCTGGCCCCAAGTTGCTCAGGGTTGTAGGAAAAGAAACAGCTGGTCCCAAGGCAGAGGAGAGAGAGGCAACTATGGAGTACACAGCACACCCACCTGCCCCATGGAGTGGGTGCACCCTGGGCTCCAAGGAGCAAGCAATAGAGAAACCCCACATCCCGCCTGAGTTCACGGTGCCTGACCTGCCTGCTGGCCCACCGGCAGTCCTCAGGTAGGCTCTGGCTTCACCGCCTGGCCCTCCGTGGTCCCAGAAGGGCTCCGGGCTCCAGGAGGGGCCTCTGCTTCCAAGGGCAGGGCCTTGTCTTGGGTCTGTGTCAGAGGGTGGACCATGGACATGTGTACATTGAGGTTGTGCGCCTTCTCAAACCGTCGGCCACACTGATCACAGGCGAAGTCCAGCTCAGTCTCTGCCTTGTGCTTGGTCATGTGGTACTTGAGGGATGCCCGCTGCCTGCACTGGAAGCCACAGACCTCACACCTGTGGGACAGAGGTAGTGAGGAGGGCTACCTCGTGTCCCAGCCCTGGGAGGTGTCCTGCCCACACTTACTGCAAAGGTTTGGCTCCTGAGTGGCGCATCTGATGGACAAGAAGGTGCTTCCGCTGCTTGAAGGTCTGCCCACACTCATCACAGATATAGTTGCGCACCTCTGGGGACAGAGTGGGAGTGAGCCCAACACCCACACCAACCCTGGAGGAACAGCAGTCTCACTGAGCATCAGGAAGTAGTCTGAGACCTGGGCCCCAGCAAGGAGCCTCTATACCCAGGTTTAGTACAAATAAGACTGGGTCAAGCATTCTATTAATAAAGACTTCTAAATTGCCTAAAAATATTGTTGGCTGACTAGGTCTTCTCCATCAGTGCTGTATATCTGAAAGTAAAATCAAGACAGAGCCCAAATTGAAAGGTTTAGATAATACTGATCCTCATAGCAACTTTCTGGCCGCTTTGGGGTGGAGAGCCTGCTGGTGGGAGGGTGACATCTCCATGTCAGGAAGCACACCTCGCCCTCAGCAAAGCCAACAGCCACACCCTTGGCACCAACATCCATGGTACCTGAAGTAGCTTTCCATGCAATGGTTTTGCACTGTAGTGTAACCTCTTTAGAAAGCTGGCGTGATAAACATGACCTAGAGAAATTCCTGCATGAGGACAGTCAGGAAGCGGAGAGCAAAAACTTGGAAGTACCGGAAGTGTCTGTTACAGGAAAATGTCCCACAGCTGACTTCACTGTGAAACCCCCAGGTACGTGATGCAGTAATAGAACCAGTCCCGACAGGGAAAGGCTCCACGGTAGTAAGTTGTGTACAGCGCTCGGCCTTTCAGCTGGAAGGACAGGAACAGAACAAGTGTGGGAGGACTGAGCGTGCTGGGCCTGGGACATGTGGTGGGACTGAACGGAGACACAGGGCCTAGGCAATGACATGCAGAGGAAGAGCTAGAAGAGCAAACCCTCCAGGGTGGACAGCAGGACGACCAAGAGGCACCGACAGACCTGTGTGCTGTGCTTATTTTTCACCATTTCTACAATGCATGCCAGTTTTTATAGTATGGAAAATATTGTTTGACTTTTTGAGACAGGGTCTCAATGTGTAGTTTGGGCTGGCCTTGAACTCAAAGCAATCCTGCCTGAGCTTCCTAAGAACTGGGATTATAGGTGTGTACCACCAAACCCAGCTATTTTTAAACATGGAAGGGCACCCGGAATTCTATCCATCTGAAACTTCAGGTCTTGCAGAAAAGACTGCTCCTGGGAGGATGTCTACCCATCCACCACAGGGCAGCTGGGTTGTACCTATGCAAGGATGCACCTCCCTTCCCCACAATGTAGGAGCACCCAAGCTTATCTGCTGAGACGCAGGCTCAGGCCCCCTGACAGGATCCAGCCCGTCCAACCCTGCTTCTGGAGCAAGGTGTATGGGTGGTGGAGTGGGTGTTCCCCAGGGCTGGACATGCCGGGTCCGCTGCCACCCCCTCGGGCTGGGCCTTGGGGTCTCCCTGGGAAGCACAGGCACCTGTGTGGATAAGTTTCACGTGGCGTTGCAGGTAGCGGTCAATCATGAACACCTTGTTACAGCCAGGGTGGGGACAGGGCCTTTCCCGAACCTCCTCATGATGCTCCTTGATGTGCTTCTGCAGGAGGACAGGAAGGAGACACACACTGCTGTGTCTGGACCAGGCCCCACCCGCCTAGGGCCTGGTAGGTGTCCTCCTAGAAGGGCAGGTCCCACTCCTCACCAGGCCCTGCCTCCTCTGCAGTCCTGGTGACCTAACCCTAACCCTCACATGAGACAGGCCGGTGCTCTACCACTGCCTCAACGGGCTCCTTAAAGCCTCATCTGGAGACTGCAGGGCCCACAGGGAGCATCTCGAGTGGAGGTTGGCTCCCCAGCCCCTGGGACAGCTGTGGCCGTGGCTGAAATCTCCATCAGCCTAGGATCATGTGAATCCTGGGCCAGCACCAGTTCTTGCCACCTGCCTGCATTCACACTGATGGCCTGCAAAGCGCCCGCTGCTCACCTTCATGCCATCGGCCCCGCGGTACACGGCTGTGCAGCCCTGGTAAGGACACTTGTATATGGTGGGTAGCTCCTCCCTGCAAGACAGCATGTGTGGAGGTGCTGCCCCAGTGCCCAGGCCACCCGCCCAGTAGCCCCCTCACCTCTCACAGCGGAGCTTTTTCTTCCATCCAGGCTTGGGCCCAGGCTTTTTTCGCATTTTTGGTTCTTCGGTCTTCTTGGCCTCTTTGCTTTCACTCTTCTTCCCAGAGATCCTGAAATAGGAAAGAGGCACCCACCCAATTCAATGATGTTTCTGATCTCCACAGTTCTCATCTCTGCACCCCACTTCAAGCACCTGGGATTTCTCAAGCTCTTTGTGAATTGTGTGGCCCTCAGCTGCCCCTGCAGCAGCCACTGTGGGGGCGGGGGCAGCCTAGGGCACAGCGCTGAGTGTGGGGCTCACAGTAACCCCTCAGTGGCTGCCCAGGAAGAAGCTGGATCACTTCTCTCGGCACCAAATGCTGTCTGGAGACCTTATGAAAAATGGCAGAGTGGGGAAGCTCTGGAGTCAGTCTTTTCCCAGACCACCTCCCACTAGAAGAGAGCCTAGCACTTCCTCTCTGCAACCAGGGCAGAGCTGAGGAAGAGGAGTGCCATCAATGCGGGGAGGGGAGCAGCATGTGGACACTTGGCCCCCCACACTGAAGCAGCTGTGCTACAGATCTGTGTGGCCAGGCCAGAGTGCAGTAAGGGACCTGTCCCAAAATGTGAGGTGGTGCAGGCTGCACCTGCACACCAGGTGAAAGGAGATCCGTACATTTGTTTCTCCTTTTGGCCACCAACATGAAAGGACTCTGTCAGTACCACTAGGGAACTTCCTTGACAAGACAACCCACACGGAAACCTGCAACAGACATTGTGCTCAGTGCCGAAGGACTAAAAGCATTAAGGTCAAGAACAGAACAAGGTGGGGCCGGGATTTAGCTCAGTGGTGCCGTCGCCTGCCTCACAAGCGCAAGGTCCTAAATTTAATACCCAACACAAAATAAAAAAATAAATAAGAACAAGGATGCCACTTTCACCACTGTTTTTCAACATATTACTGGAGGTTCTTGTTGACAATTCAGCAAGAAAAGATTTAGAGAAATAGACTGTATGACTGTATATGCAGAAAACCACAGACAAAAATAACAGAGCTGGGAACATGGTCCAGTGGTAGAGCATTTGCCTAGCATACGCGAGGTCCTGGGATTCAATCCCCAGCACTACAAAAATTAACTCAGTGCTGTTACCATGGAGATAAACTTAATACTAGCTTTGATAGCCACCATACCAGCAAGGCTTGACTACAGCATCCTGCCATTAAAGAACAAGTTAGTGAGGAACAGAGGGCTGGGGGCTAGCTCAGCAGTACACACAAAAGGATCCAGCAAAGTTGGAGGATACAAAAATCAACACATAAACCGGGTGTGGTGGTGCACTGCCTATAATCTTGGCACTTGGGGGACTGAGGCAGCAGGATCACTGAATTCCAGGCCAGCCTGAACTACAAAGCAAGATCTCAAAAGTAAGTAAGTAAATTAAAATAAAAACACACAAAACCTATTTCTATACATTAACAATGAATGGTCCAAATAGGAAATTAAGAAAGCAATTCATCTGCAATAGCATCAGCAAGAATAAAATATTTAGGGATAAAATTAACCAAAGACTAAAGGCTTACTCATTGAAAATGACAACACAATGCTGAGAAAAGCTAGACAGCAGAAAGCCCGGGGTTTACAGATAACACAATGTGAAAATGGAAATATTGCCCCCAAGCCCTGTACAGATTCACTGGTCCTGATCAGAAACCCAAATGGAGGGCTAGGACACAGAAAGGTGGAGTGCTTGCCAAGCATACAGACCCTGGATTCAGAACCCAGACCGGCAAAAAAACATTTACAAGTTTTTTGAAGTCAGGTGTAGCAGCACATGCCTGTAATTCCTGCTACTCAGGAGGTTGCAGTAGGGGGACCGTTAATTTGAGGCCTGGGTAACAGGGTGACCATGCTTCACAAAGGGGGAAGGCCTGTGACCATGTGTGATAGCTGCTACCTGCAATTCCAGCACTCTAGAGGCTGGAGAAAAATTGCAACTGTAAGGAAAAGCCTGGGCTAAATAGTAAGCTCAAGGCCAAAATGAACTACATAGCAAGACCCTGTCTCAAAGCAGGAGAGAGGGTCCTGGGGATATAGTTCAGTGGTAGAGTGCCTCTGGTTTAATCCCCAGTACCACCAAAATAAATGGTATGTGTGTGGGTGGGTGGGGTGTAGTACATGCCTATAATGCCAGCATTTGGGAGGCTGAGGCAAGAAGACTGCGATTAGACTGAGATATACATTAAGACAAAAAGCCCAAGGGCCAGGAATTTAGCTCAGTGGTGCCACTGCCTGCCTCATGAGCACAAGGACCCAAGTTTGATCCCTGGTGCCAAATTAAAAAAAAAAAAGAGAGACAAAAAGCCCAAGTTGGAGAACTCAAACTGTTTCTCAAACTTACTCCACAGGTATTCTAGTCAAAACTGTGTTGCTGGTATTAAGTACAAAGTCACATGGACCAATCAGATGGAAATAAAACCACAAATGCTCATATAGTCCACTGATGCTCAACAAGGGCTCCAAGACCACGCAGGGGAGAGCACAACCTCTTGAGATGGATCCGGGAAGATGACATTCACATGCAAAAGAACCAAGTTGGGCTACCACCCAACAGATCCACAAAAATTAAATGACCTAAATCTAAAAGCTAATCCTCTAAAACTCTTGTAAGAAAACAAGGGACAAATCTGCATGACATTGGATTTGGCAGTAATTCCTTAACTATGGCATCAAACTTACAGGAAACAAAAAGAAAAAAAAATAAAATTGATTTTATCAGAGTTGGTGTGTTGTTATGGCTTGTGTCTAGATGTCCCCCAAAGCCCAGCCCCATGCAGTCATAGGTAGGGCTTTTTGGAGGTGGCTGAATCTAGAGTGTGTGATGCTGGGATTAAGGGTGTGTGATTACTAAATGAGCCTACTAATTGGTTTGGCACTGCCTTAATCCCAGTATCCTAAAGTATAAAAGGGGCAGAAAGAAGCTGCTGGGGTCCCTTGCTTGCTTGCTTTGCTACCTTCTGCCCACCACGAACTGTTTCTCCTCTGCAATTCCTGTCTACCATGCCACCCTGCCCTAGAGCCAGCCAACTGTGAACTGAAACCTCTACAAACTGAGCTAAATAAAACTTTCCTCCCTTAATTTGTGGGTGTTGGGTATTTCGTCTCAGCAACAAGAAAAGTAACCAAGACACACGGCAACACCACCAAAATAGTGAAAAGAATCTATAGGAGAAAATACTGTAAACCACACATCTGGAAAGGGTTTGCGATCTCGAACACAGAAAAACTGCTCCGGCTGGGCACAATGCATGTCTATAGACCATCTGCTCATGAGTCTGAGGCAAGAGAACTGAGGCTCCATAACAGCTGGGGCGACTTCATGAGACCTGACTTAACACAATACAGCAAGGCATGGTGGCACACACCTGTAATGTAAGGCAGGAGAACCACAGTTGGAGGCCAGCCTGGGCAACACAGAGGCCCCCCTCAAAAAGGTCACAGATTATGTGGTAATTTTATGTTTCACTTACTGGGAAACCACTGTTGTGTTTCCCACAAGGATGCACTATCCTTCTTTGCCATCAACAGCGCAAAAAGGTTCTCCCTCTACCAGCATTACCTGGTTTTGTTAGCCGTTACTCTGGTGCTACCTCCTCACTGATCTGCAGATGTTTAATGACTGGTGACAGTGAGCTTCTCTCCCCTTATGGTTTTCAGCCATTGGCCACCTGCAGATCTACTTGGAAGAGTTAGTGAGGTTCTTTTTGCTGTTTGGTGGTATTAGGGCTAGGTTGAATTGAAGGGCACTCTACCTGAGCTACATTTTCTGCCCCTTTTATTTTGAAACAAGTTTCCCATACTAGCCTGGAATGTGCACTCCTCCTGCCTCAGCCTCCTGAGTTGCTAGGGTTAAAGGCGAGTGCCACTGTGCCTGAGAGCAAGTCTTTTATCCTAACATGGAGGATCAAACCCAGGGCATTCACAATGAGCTTTTAGTTTAATTTTTAAATTTTGAGACATGGTCTCAACTGAGACACTGATTGGACCAGGCTGGGATTCAACTGGCAGCCTTCCAAGTGCTGGGATTACAGGCTTGCACCACCACACCTGACTGATTTTGTCCACGCCCCCCGACACTTTTCTTTTTTGGTACCGAGAATCGAACCCAGGGCCTCACACTTGCTGGGGAGTATTTTGTCCATTTTTAAATTGAGTTGGCTTTTTGCTATTGCATTATAGGAGTGTTGTTTTGTATGCATATTGAACCCAGAGCCTTTGTGCTGAGGTACATCACCACCAACCTTTCTTAAAATTTTATTTTGAAACAGGTTTGTGCTGAGTTGTTAAACTGCCCAATGGGATCCTCCTGCCTAACTTTTCAAAGCAGATCTACAGACGGCCAACGGCCAGTAATCACAAGGGGAGAGAAGCTCACTGTCTTCAGTCATTAAACACCTGCAGATCACAGTGAGGAGGCAGCACCAGAGTAACAGCTAACAAACCAAGTAATGCTGGGCCAGGGATTTAGCTTAGGGGCTCTACCACCTGTCTCGCAATTGCAAGGTCCCCAGTTCAATCACCGGTACCGGGGGGCAGGGGTAATACTGGTAGAGGTAGAATCCTTTTGCACTGTCGGTGGGAAAGTAAAATAGTCAACCTCATGGGAAACAGAACAGTGGTTTCCCAGTTAGTGAAACATAAAATTACCATGTAAGCTGTGACACCCCTCCCCCGCCTTTTTTAGGAAACAGGGCCTCCGTGTTGCCCAGGCTGGCCTCCAATTGTGATCTTCTCACTTTACCTTACGGAGCAGCTGGGATTCCAGGCTCAGCTTACAATTCCATGTTGAAGTACACATATCAAGAGTCAAAAAGGGACTTGTGCATGTACAGCACTATACTATCACATTCACAAGAGCCAAAGACAGATGCAATCCCAATCCACAAAAGAATGGATCAACCAAACGTGGTGTACATATCCATGCAATGGAGCAGTATTCAGCCAGAAAAAGGAATGAAATTCTGACACCTGCTACAATATTGAACTCTAAGGCACTGTGCCAAGAAGCCCGCTGGGAAAGGGCAAATACTGTGGGATTCCACTTACGTATGTCTGCAGTGGTAACAGTAACGCTGTGAATATCTATACACTTAAAGGTGGTTGAAGTAATTTAAGGCTAATATCTAAGGAACTGTCATCCTCCTCAAAGCATACTAAGAACAATCTCTTGGGTAACATGCATGCTGTTCCTCCTCTCCATGTCTGGTAAGTGTCCACTGTCCCCTCCTGGCATGTCCTCTTCTGTCAGGAACTGGCCAACTCCTCCACACAAGACCATGTACTACTTGAACGAGAGGTTCCAGGGAACCTGCAGTCCCTGTGCTGAGTGTTAACAGTGGCACTCACCACCTGCTCCCCCCGCCTGGCTGTCCTGCTCCTTCAAAGTGCAGGCCCACGTTTTCACCTCTGGCTAATAGCAAGGTGCTCAGACCAACACATCACACACAGAAGGCTCCCTGTCTGCTGAGACTGGCTGGAGTTGGAGAAAGAAGACTGAAAAGGACACAGGCTGGGGTGCTATTCAGGGCCTTGTCCTTCCAAGTTCCCAGCTGGGACTTGCTATAGTACTGAGGGACCCAGTGGCCTCCAGGTCAGTGCACATCTCAGTCAACAGAGGCCTGTGTCCACGACTAATGGTGTTACCTCCTGCAGAGTGCAGTTTCTACTAAAGTAACCCTTTCACAAGAAGCCTCTTAAAGCTCATAGGTCCTAGTCCAAAGCACATGTCTATATAATAACTACTTGGGTGGCTCAGGCAGGAGTATTATAAGTTCCAGCCCAGCCTGGGAAACTTAGTAAGACCTTGTGTGAAATATAATTTTAAAAAAAGCAAACACATATCTATCCGTGCTTCTGAGGTTCCAAAGGGACCAGTGAGTAATTCAGCAGAGTAATTCATCCATCCTCCTTGGCATCAGGGGCTCAGCAGATCACCCTCCAGCCTGTCCCTGGAAAGGGGACCCAACTGGCCCTCCTATCCCAGCTCTGGATGCCAGCACTGCCACCTCAGTCGCTTTTGACTGCTAGCAGCAAACAGCAGACACACACATTCAGCCTGCAGTGGTCACCTACTCACAGCAACCCCAGCCGGCACCCAGCCCTGCACCCTGGGAACAGGCCTCATCTCCTGCCCACCTTCCTCCTGCCCCTCCCCAAATGAGTAGGGGAAGCCAAGCTCACTTCTCAATCTCAATTGCAGGATTTTTGTGGTAGACAGCACAGCACCCGAAGCGACTTGCTCTCTTAATTTCTCAGGATTGTGAAATGCTCAGGGGCGTCTGATGACCAAAGTTATCAATTAGCTGTCACATATTGTAAGCCTTCATGGCACAAAATTGAGAGGAGAGGGACACCAATGCACAAATGAAAACTAGCCCTCTTTGCCAGGATCCTATATCTGACTGGTGAGAACGGAAATCTCTGCAAAGAGAAGATCAAAGCAAAGTCACATCAGTAACAAGGAGGTAGACCGTAGCTAGCTGTCCTTAAGATAGTGTGAGTTGGAGGTGAGTGGACACTGGGGAGAACAGTTAGGATAGGGGACCTGAGAACAGAAGACCACAGAACTCCCCTGGAATGCAGCTAGTCATCAACAAGGCTGCCTGCCATGTCATGGTGACCAGGTGCAAGCTCTGAGCCACCCAGAGCACTGCGTGGCAGCCAAGGGAACTTTGTGCATGGACTCCTCGTGGCTCTGCCACCTGGCCTCCCAGCTCACTCAGTCACTGGGTTTAGGAGGTCGTGCCAAGGGAGCAACAGCAAGTGAGCTGGGCCAGCAGACCTGGACACACAGTTTCACCGCCACAGTACCAACCCCGAAGCTTTCCTGTGATGCCCCTCCAGACCCCATGTGCCTGTGACAGGCAGAGCAGCATCCTTACTTCTTTTCTGGGTAAGGCTCAAAGGACTCGTCTGAAGACTGTGCATTTTGCTTCTTGCCATTTTCATCTTCACTCGGGAAGTCTCTAGGAAAGATGAGAGAACTTTTAGCAGAAGTGGTTGCCCTGAAATGAGCAACAGACCCAACCAGAACCAAATCTCCAATCCCACTTCCTAACAAAAGTACAAGCCACAGTCACTGAAACTGAACAAGCTGATAACCACCCCATCCCACGGCACTTCCGCTTATAGCCAGGATCCAAACCGAACAGAGCTTTCTATGGGGTCAGGTGGGAATGGAGACTCAGAGGAAGTGGGCTTCCGGGCAGGTCATCACCTCAACAGGAACCAAGTATCTGAGGCTGACAGGGTCAGCCATTTCAATGCTCAAGGTGAAGGAAAAAAAAAAATCTGCTACCTTTCACCCTAAAACAGGAACTGCTATTTGGTCCTTGCTGGGCAGCAAACTGAGTTAGGCTGGCAAGCCCACAGTGGCCCCAACAAGCTGCCACCTGCCTGGACAGAGGAAGGCTTGAGGGTGCTGGGAGCCACCCCTGGTCCCCTCAACTTGTGATGGTGCATCTGCATCCTGCCAAAGCCACAGGGCAGATGGAGGGTGGCAAATGCCAGCCCTGATGGCTCCTGTTCCAGAGCCAACAGACCCTGACACTGCCCTGCCCTTCTGAGTGAGATCTGCTTCAAGTCCCATCACCACCACCACCACCACCCCGGGCCAGAAGCGAGTGCCATCGGCCTAAAGATATCTGCAACTGACACAAACACAAGGCCTTCAAAGAGAAGACAAGCGGTGGCCATGGTGGACCCGACTCTGGGGTTCTGCCTGGGCTGGGCTACCCTGCTGTGGCACCAGAGGGGTACTTTCAGGACCCAGGAAGCCCCAGTCAGGACCGAGGAGCTGCCTTTCCTCCCAACCTCAGAGGCCAGCATGGTGACCTGGGCACAGCTAGCATCCTGAGAATAGCTGAGTCTGGTTTTTGAAGAGAAATATTAGGCTATTTAAACCCACTCTTCTCTCACCCCTCAGAAAGGTCACTGAACTCGTCTTTTACCCGATCATCCGAAGTTGAAGATGGAACCAGCTTCTCACCCAATTTCCCTGGGAAACGAAGAACAGACTCCTGTTACCAAAAAGGGCACACAGTGCCTTGCCACCAAGGCAGGCCCAGTCTGACAACACAGCCTGCCTTACAAGTGGGCCTGGGGTTAGTCCTTGGCCTCAAATTCTGCCGCATCTTGGCCCAACCCCCACAAAAGCTTGTGCACAGCATCCAACCCACTGTGCCACCAAGTGGGAAAAGTGGCACCAAACAGGAGGAACCCAGGGATGGTCATCTGATGATGACTCAGGTCATCATTCTGGAGGGGATGATGTATTTTGAGAAATTTTTAAGGTGATGGTTATCAAAAGATCTCATGCACACAACTGACAAAGCTAAGTAAGTTAATCCTAAGGACTCCACCCCGAGGTCCTTCCTGCAGATGGGGAATCTCATCTGTGCACCTTTATTAGCTAAACCCCTGGGCAGCTACACAAGTGCAGGACCCACTGTGAACCTGCACACAGGGGCGAGCTGAGTACTTGTAAGGACAAGGACAGATGCACATGGAAGATCAATGGAGCCAGGCCTGGGTTTTCTAACATGATACCCATGAGCAGCTGCACCCACCCCACAATATGCAGGTGGGGTCCAGCCTGTCTCCCCTCCTCAGCCTGTCAGAGAAGCTTCTACCCTGGCCCATACCAGGGTCACCAGGCAGCTGGCTGATGCCTAGGGCAGGACGTGCAGCTGGCCCAGAGCAGCAGCCTCATTCTCGTCCCCCACACCCTACAGACAAGGGCCCCATTCTTCTCTCTCCTTAGTCCCTTCCAGCCACAGAATGGCCCTAGAGGTGCATGCCTTTGCACAAACGAAGGACCAGCTTATTTTGGAGAAGATAGGACCAGCTGGTGGCCCCTTGGTGCCCTCAAGTGCTTTGAGCATCTGCAAGCTGAGAGAGCAGTGAGCACCTGTGATCATCACACACAGCTGATCCTCAGGAAGTGGAGACAAGTCTTTCTCTGTTGAAGACCCTGCCCTACTCAGGAATATGGAATTCTATTCTACCCCAGGCCAAAGGCGCCTCCTACCTGGGGCCTCACTTGGAGGGAGGCTTGGCCGAGGTGGGGGCCCTAGCCTGGGCCCCACAAAGCTGCCATCTGAAGGTGGTGGGGCTGCATCCACATTGGGCAGCAACTTGGTCTCAGCCCCAGCCATGGTTCCTCTGCCTTGAGAGAGCTGGGGGGCAGCCCCAGCAGGGTCTGGCTCCAGGTTCTGGTTGAGCCGTGGTGCCACCTCCTTGTCCCACGGCCATTTGACTGCCAATGCATTGTCCAGCAAGAGGGCTCTGCAGCTGGAATCGGTGTCCATGGTGTAGTCATGGCCCTGATTGCAGCCCCACACTGCCTGGATGATGCCACAGTACTCGGAGGACAGTGTTCTCTGAAGGCTGGGCAGGGCCCCACAGCTGGCTGCATGTCCGTGCACCCACCCCACTAAGCCATGCAGGCACCGGGGAGTCGAAGTGATCAGATCCACTGAGGAGAGTCAACAGGGAAGTCAGTCCCAGGGCTGGCCGACCCACAGCCCTCCCAGAGCTCCCATACCAGGGCCAGACTCACCCAGACACACTCCCTCCTCCGCGACTGTGGGGGGCTGACCACCGACCCTGCAAAGGATCAGTACAGCTGTAAGGAATCCAAGGCCTGTAGAGCTCCTTGTTTATGGGCCTCTAAAGGTCTCAAGCCTCGCCAGCTGTCTCTACCAAGAGCCCTGTCTCCTTCCCTAAAGCTGCTCAGGACCCAAAGTAAACCTTGCCACCCCCAGCACCTCCATCTCATCTGCCAGCAGTCCCATGGATGCTGACACTGGCTTCTGCAGAGTGGGAAGAGCCTGTCCACCCCACCCTGACACTCCTACCACAGGACACCCTGGCTTTAGACTAACACTACTCAGCACATAGAGTGCTGAGTGTCCCGTGAATGATCCAACAAGGGCCTACTTTGCACAAGACTTTCGCTGGCCTGTCGGGGACACGTTGACCCTCTGTAAGAAGGTCCTGAGGAGGCTGTGGCACTGGTAGAACTGGGCATGGCAGCTCTTGCAGACAAACTGGGACAAGGATGAGTCCTGGTGCACAGCCACACCCAACAAGTGCTGGAAGTCCCTGATGAAGACCCGGTCTCCTGGGGAAGGTTTCTCTGAGCTGTCCCCAGAGGCTCTGTCAGAGATGCTTCGGAGACTTCGTGAGGAAAACTTTCCGTGGCAGAGGCGACAGTGTCCCATGGCAAGAGCCCGGCCTGTTCCTGGACAAAGTAAATGTCAACAGTCAGTAAGTGAGACTGGTTACCGAGCACAGGACACTCAGACAAGTTCTAAGGCAGTTTGTGCCTGCACCAAGGACTATCCTCCCCAGCCAGCCTCATCTGGATAAGTGCCCTCCCAGGGCCTCCCTGGTCCCCTCAAAGTCAGGGTTTGAGTCTGGGTTCAGCACAACATTCAGCCTCTGGAAGGCCACTGGGCCAAGAAACCTTCCCAAGAATTCTTAAGTGCCTCCACGATGGTGGACTCCATTTCTGCTCACACCATCCTTGTGAGGCCAGAAATGAAGCGCTCCACCGTCCTGCTGTGCTGTCCACCCTCTTCCCTTCACGCCGATGCCACCTAGTCTCCTGCTTCTAGAAGACTAAACATGAGCGCGCACGAAAAAGTACGTAAATGGCAAAAGCGTTAGAGAAACACGAAAGGTACTGTGCTGTTAACTGCTTACACACGGCTCGCGCAGCTGTCCGCACACCCCATGGGCTTGTTTTAGCCCACAAGAAACAGGTCCAGAGAGATCGGGCAGCGATCTCAAGGGCACACTCACAAAGAGGACGGGGCGCGGACCTGCCTGGCTTCCACTTGGGCTCTGAACCTCCAGCGAACTCGGGACGGAAAAGGACCGACGTCTGGCCAAGGCCGCGCCCAAAGGCCAGAGGGGCTGTCTAGCTGCGAGCGGCCCGGCCCCGCGGACCCGGGCGCCGG